GATCACATTCATAAATTAACTGGGCATATTCAATTATTTCCAGAGGTGCATCTGTGAACAAAAGTGGCTGGCCAGTGTGTGTGTGTGTGTGTGTGTGTGTGTGAAGTGCTGTCAAGTCATTTCTAACTTATGGCAACCCTATGAATTATAACAACCTTGCTCAGATATTGCAAACTGAGTGCCTTGGCTTCCTTTATTGAGTCGATCCAGCTCATTTCCCTCTTTTCCTGCTGCCTTCAACTTTTCTTAGCGTTATTGTCTTTTCCAGTGACTCTTGTCTTCTCATAATGTGACCAAAGCACAATAGCTTCAGTTTAGTCATTTTAGCTTCTAGGGAGAACTCACACTTGATTTGATCTAAAATCCACTGATTTGTCTTTTTGGTGATTCATGGTATCCATAACACTTTCCTCCAACACCACATTTCAAATGAATCAACTTTCTTCCTGTCCGCTTTCTTCATGGCCAATGTACAGAAGAGGTACTACAAGTTTATGAGTCAGTGTAATGTGGCTGCTGTATCACTAGATCTGGACTACGGAGAACTAGGTTCATACCCAGCCATCTGATTTGCTGGCTGCTTTGGGTATGCCACTGTCTCTCAGTTTAGCCTACTTCACAAGGTTATTGTGAAGATCAAATGGGATAACATCCATTTTACCCTACAGACGCTTCAAAGATGTGGATACGCTAAAGACGACTTCCTCAACTTTGTCATCCTTGCCCTTGCACAAGGCTGTAACTTTTTAAAGGGAAACACAGTTCTGATTATTTCCATACAAATTCAGATAATATGCTGTACCAGTCCCCCATGACAATCTCTGTATGGGAAATGTCACATGCTGCAGCCGCCCCCACATTTAAAAAAAACTAGCTCAAAAGTACTGAAAGCATCATGAGGCTCATTCTAATGTATGCCTGTGCACTCAAAATGTTTGATTTGAACACAATTTTTGAAAACACCATCAGTCTCTTTTTAATGTTTGTCTGCACGTGACCCAGTTCAAACTCTAGCTCATTTGTGAGCTGGATGAAATTTTGCAGTGAATGAAAATGTCACAAAAAGATATTTGTACAGTTTTATCTCAAATTTAGATAAGCAGTTATCAACTGGGTTACAGTATTCTCTTCAGTGCTCTGTATTTACTGATCTATATTTCAGCCTAACATGATTAAGTTCTCTGTGCTTTCCCTGTTCCTTATTGCTTCAGAAAATCCGGAGCTTTATTTGTTACTCAAGACCCAAGTTCAGTAACTTTCCAAAGTGCAAAAGATCTCTTGTACTTCTTTCATATCCACTGTGAAGTCTTCCTGAAGAAACTATGATCGGGGGAGAGACAAATATTGTACTTGCACTTTGTTAGAGAGGAGACTCAGAATATAACTGCAGCTTCTACATATATTCTTTTGTCTTTTAAAATGTATTAAGCTTGAGAATGATCGCCTGTCAGTCATTGAGAGAGACAATCGATTACTTGTGGAGAAGATGTCTTACATCATGAGGACTACAGGAAGAATAGACAACAAAAACGATTATGAGGCTAAAAGGTAAAGTTTGCAGTGAAGCTGGTGTGGAATTCTCAAATACTTGGACAGTGAGAACACCAGAACTGAATAATGTGCCGTTTAAGGTCTTACAAAAGCCTGTCTTACAAATATTTCGCTTGAAGTATATTTCATTGATCACTTTTGTTTTAAAAATCCATCAGATCACTGAATCAGATAATAGGATGGAAAAGCATCTTAATTTTGAGACAAGCTCCCGACCCTGACTCGCTCCCGCCAAAGAAAAAACTCAGGAAAACATGCCGAAACCAGACCAAAGCCTAAAACACGAGCTGGGTAAGCATAAAAATACCCTTACCTCTCAGAAAATTGCAAAGGATTCGCTAGAAGCCGCGTTTCAGCGCAGCGCGGCAAACCGGGCTGAAACCAAAATGGCGGGCGCAACCGAGCTAACGGAACAACCCCCAATCGATTCGGCCTCCTCCACCATTCTTGCTTACTTGAAAACCATGGAATCAGGCATTCTCCATAAAATAGACTCCCTTGCTTCACAACTTGAATCCATGCACACCTCTTTACAGCAAACAGCTCAAAAAGCCAACAATGCTTTAGAAACGAGCCTAACAAATCAGCTAGACATCAAAGCCTTGCAAAAAGCTTCAGCCTCACAAAGAGATCGTTTAATTGCTCTGGAGGCAGACATGAAAGCGGCTAATTTAAAATTCAGAAATCTGCCAGAGAAAGCTGAAGAAAATATTGATATTATCACATTTATGGCCCAACTCATAGCGACCTCACTCAAACTTGAGGAAGGAATTCTTCCAATCCTGAGCAATATTGTAAACGAAGTATTTCATCACTCTCTTGCACATATTTGATGTGTAATTGTTAGGTACTGTTGATTTGTTCTAATCTCACTTGTATGCTGTTAACCTTTTGTTTTTCAATGTTTGGCAAATTTAAAACAATAAAAATTTTAAATTAAAAAAAAAATCCATCAGATCACTGAATCAGATAATAGGATGGAAAAGCATCTTAATTTTGAGAAAGTATTGGAAGATGACAGTGTATCATCTCTTTACTGACACAGATATCTTTGTTTAAAAGTATGTGTATCCTTCCCACTGAAGTCCTCTTTATAAATCCAAGAGGTTATCAACAGAGAACCTTCTTAAGTGGGATCTGAGAATATCTAGATGAATTTTCTAGTGAGAAAATGACAGAGGAGGAAGTCAATTTTGGCAGCTAAATTTGCAAAAGAAAATAACACTGGTTATACGGGGAAGATGGTAACATATAGTTGAGCCTTTCTCAGTGTTTGCATATATCTCCCATTTGACTGATGTTTTCCTCTAGTATATAAATGTATGTATAATAATCCTGCTTTTCCAGTAACAACCTTAGCTTCCCCTGTATTTTGTGTGGGTGTTTACAGCAATGGTGCACATTATCTCCTTTAGTCTGAACAGAAGAAAACGAGAGCAAGAATTATTGAGAATGACCAAAGAGAATCATGCAATTCTGGGAAGGATTACAAACTGCAAGCCTCAATATAAGGTCCAGAAGTGGGATGAAGACTGGCAAAAGGCTGTAGAGTACATGAACAGTATTGCAAGATACCCTCGTGGATTCTGCAGTTTGCAGAATCAAAAGGTAAACCTCAATTGTTGTACTGATTTCAGAAGACCAGTGATCTACTATTCCCAGGCTGTGTTCCTCACAATTAGGCTAGTAAAGAGAAAATATATACATACTAATACCGTATAAAGCTGGGAAATGCTGCAACAGCTCTCATAGGGATAGAAAGGAAAGGTGTTATAGACCCCCATTTCTGCTGTGTTTGATTCCTCATTAGCAATATTCTGTCGCAGCAACAACTAGAGTGAAACCCTTGCCATTCAAAGTACTCCAGGGGCCATAGGGCCCCCAGCCAGATCTCAGTGATACCTGCCCGGTCAGCCCTCTCATCAGGAATTCAGTCCTGGATGGCTGCTGTTTCGCCTGGCATTTAAAAACAAGGTATTACTGCTGGTCAATTGGCCGTAACAATAAATTTGATTTGAAAAACAAGGTATTATAACCCAGCAGGATGTTGATATGGTCACCGACATTACCATGGCTAGAAGAAGAACCAGAAAGGGCGACTACCTGCAAATGTCTGCTGTCCCTTTTCTATACTTGCTGTTCTTCTTCCACCACATCTACTCTACCCACACCCTATTGATTGTGGTACCATACCTCGCTCCTTTCTGCTCCCCCAAACACATCCCCAGCCAGCAGGTTAACACAAGGACAAACAATCACACTTAAACACTAGAGTCCAGATTCCAGCTACGAGCCACAGAGCAAGAGCCCGTTGGCTCACACTGCAGCCTGACCTTTCGTTCAAATAGTGCAGGTACCTGTGAAAACATCCAGGGAGCAACTTGCAGCACCTTATAGGGACAGATGGGGAAATCAGGCAGCAAGCCCAGAAGCTACGAGAGGCAGGGTTGCCAGGTCCCCCCTGGCCACTGGCAGGAGACAGAGGTCCTTTCCATACTTGGATCTCATCCCTGGTTTTATCAGAGTTCAACTCAGGACACAATACCTTCCATTTATCCCTGGTTATAACAGCATCCGTTTATCCCAGGACAAGTGTGGGGTGAAACCAGGGTGACTTCAGTGTAATGTGGAAACAAAAAAATACCCCGAGATTATTACAGGAGTGAACTCGAGTGTAGTGTAGAATGTAAGTTTGGGGACAGGATTTAAGGTCTAGTGTGGAAAGGACCAGGGTTTAAGGTATAGTACAGAAAGGATCAGGGCTGAACCAGGATTTAAGTTCTAGAGTGGAACCAGGATTTAAGGTCTAGTGAGGAAAGGACCAGAGGGGTAGAGTTGCCGTATCCAGGTTGGGAAACTCCTGGAGATCTGGGGATGGAGCCTGGGGTGGACAGGGTCCTCGGTGAGGTAAAATGCTATAGAGTCCACCCTCCAAAGCATCCGTTTTCTTCAGAGGAACTGACCTCTCTTGTCTGGAGATGAGCTGTAATTCTGGGGGATCCCCAGGTCCCACCTGGAGGCTGGCATCCCTAGGCTGCAACAGTACTCTCCTGCCTTGATCAGTTTGTCTCACACTGAATACTCACACCACCAAGAATTCCAGCGCAATCTTTTGTGAATCCGAGCTCACTTCATCAGATCCATGTATATCCTTAGCAGCTATATGTTACAAGAAATGGGAAAGGGGGGGGATAACAAGGGCCTACTAACTGAAACTTAACCCCGACAACACGGAGCTCATGGGCAGGGGGTGAAGTTTCACCCAAGAACTGGGTTATCTCTGTTCTGGATGGGGTTGCACTCCCCCTAAAGGATAGGCCTGCCAACCTTCAGGTGGTGGTTGGAGATCTCCTGCTATTGCAACTGATCTCCAGGCAACAGAGATCAGTTCACCTGCAGAAAATGGCAACTTTGGATGGTGGACTTTATGGCATTGTGCCTAATTGAAGTCCCTTCCCTCCCCAAACCCACTCTCCTGAGGTTCCATCCCCAAAATCTCCATGTATGTCCCAACCTGGAACTGGCAACTCTACTAAAGGAGCAGCTTCACAGCTTGAGAGTGTTCCTGGACCTGGGCCTCCTGTTGGATAAACAGGTGGCAGCATTGGCCAGAGATGCCTTTCACCAGTTGCTGCTGGTGAGCCAACTACAGCCCTTCCCTGACAGGAAAGATCTTGCCACTGTGGTGCATGTCCTGGTAACATCTAGATTGATTACTGCCATGTGCTCTACATGGGGCTCCTTGAAGACTGTTCAGAAGCTACAGTTCGTACAGAATGCTGTGGCCAGAATGCTGACTGGAGTAGGTTGTAGGGATCACATTGCTCCAGTCATGTTCCATCTACACTGGCTTCCAGTTTGCTTCTGGGGTCAGTTCATGGTACTGGTGTTGACCATCAAATCTAGATATGGCTTGAGGTCAGCATACCTTAAGGACCACCTACTCCTATATAAACCTATCTGTCTACTCCAAATCTTTTGAGGCGCTCCTTTGGGTACCCCTGACATCTGAGGTTAAATGGATGGCGACTTAAGAAAGAGTTAGAGTGTTTTTGGTCATGGTGCTGAAAGTTCTGCATTCACTCACCAGGGAAATTAGTCTGTCTCCTTTATCATTGACTTCTGCCAGCGGGTGGCTTTGTATTTTGTTTGGCGTTCCCCCACTAACTGTTAGCAGAATGTAGATATGCAGTAAAGTGGAGCACAAGCTGTTTAAATAATAAAGTCGGTTTATTAAGAAGAGAACAAACTTTGTAAGGAATAGGAGAGAGAAAGAGATGTCTAACTGTTTTAGTATTTTAAATTCACCACCTTGGGGACCCTATTTGGGTAGAAAGGAGGCATAGTGAAAATAAATTAATTTAGGAACTGCCATTACTGGATAAAGCAAGAAACAGAGAGATATGTAAACATCCTCCTAACTATATGACAAGGCAGGAGGAGAGTGTTTCAAGAAGAAGCAGGAAACAGCTGGAGAATAGTATTCTGGGAACAAATGAGAAAATTACATTTGGCAGAAGGAAGGAGCTAGAGCAGGGGTGTCGAACTCATTAGTTATGAGGGCCGGATCTGACATAAATGAGACTTTGTTGGTCCGGGACATGTGTGTCATAAAATGTAATGCCAGGTAGCAGAGATATAAACTTTATAAAGGACACAAACACAAAGGTTTTTTTTTAACTTAAAATAAAAACATGCTTAAAACATTAGCACTCTTGCAATATTTTGTTTATTTAACAGTGTCTGATAACTGACACCTCTTGTTCTGAATTATTACATCAAAATGTCTGTGCTGTTGCAATCTTGAGTATGCTGTTAAGGTTGTATCTGTAAGCTGCAAAGCTACGATGACGCAGCAGCAGCAGAACTGGAAGAAAAAGCAGAAGACAGCCAGTTCCACTGCAGGCCTGATAGAAGCCCTCCGGGGGCCTGATCCGGCCCCCGGGTCGCATGTTTGACACCCCAGAGCTAGAGACCCTCATCGCTGGACAGATAGTTTTCAGTATGTTGCCCACTGCAGGAGCTTCTTCTCTTCTTGTACATCAGACATTTCATATTCCAACAGGAATAAATGTTCATCTTTAATGTGACACTGGACTACTCTTTAATTCTGATTCCTATTTACTTCACAATAACATTTTTAACAGTATATAACCATTGCTCCTTCTGAGCCAACGTCTGTCACAGACAACGCAAACAAATTGATATGCATAGTATCAAGAATGTGGAAGTCAGTCCAGGTTGCAGTTCACTCTGTAAAAAAGGAATAATACAATTTCTGGTACTATATGCTTAGCCCAGAACTCTATGTGTATCACCGTCATTTGAGGAGTTCAGTCTTTATGTTCTCAACTGATTCCTTTAGTCCTGGCAGGTTACCTCAAAAAACAGCAGAACCAACTCTCCATGGCTGGAAAAAAGGAAAGGCATCTTCCCTTTAAAAGTTTAGGTCTGTTATCTTAATGAAAAAGACGAAATGCTATGTAAATGATAAAGAATGGATTTCTCAAGTTGCAAAGCTGTTAGCTATCTTATATCTATCACAAATCTCAAAGCATTCCTGAAGCTCAAACTCCTGCATACAAGAATAAATGCCTTTATAAGAAAGCTAGAGAGTAATCACCACACCCTAAGGTGTAAATACCATTAATTTCAGTTCATCTGGCACTGTCATGTGCTTTCAGAACAGGCTTGGGCAAAAAAAAGAAATGAAAAGACAGCCCACTGTAAGAGTATAACACAAAATAGTTATCTGAAAGAAAAAATTAAAAAGGAACCAAGAGTTATGATTTCAATATTTTATAATTTTATGGTTGCAATGCATAATGACTGACTTCTTAAGGTTAAAAGTCCCTACCTTGATTACCTTTTGTAATGGTAGCAAAAAAATGATGTATGACTTCTTTCCCATTACACAGAAACAAAAGTACACCAAAAGAACACCGAAACGAGACAAACAGAAAACCAACCATCTGAAAGATGTGTGTCTGACAGACAAACCAGAAAAAGGAAAGGAAAGGAAAGGCACAACTAATGAACATCAAAGTGAAAATCAAGGGGGAAAGGTGTCAAAATGAACCACTATTTTATGATGGCAGTTCAGACAATGGATATCAGAAGTCCTGATGTGAAGATCATCACCATTAGAAAATCAGCATTATTATACCAAGAGTAGATGTCAGAAACATCTTACGCCTTAACGTTACATGAGCTCTAAAAATGTTTATGGCAGGTATTAGGTATGATAACATATAGGTGCATTGGCTAGGATAGCAATTCTGTGTATATCTGAAAATTAAATTCCATTGAAATAAGTGGGAAATAGTTGCCAGTAAACCCTATTAAGAATAGGAAATAAGTTATATAAGGTTATTGCCACAGTGTCTGAGGTCGAGAACCCTCCTGGTGGAACTGGAGCAAGTACAGTACAGAGAGGAGGGGCGGGGCTCCCCTGCTGAGCCACATCCACAGATGATCCCACCGAAGAGGCCAGCAACATCCCCACCTCTCAGGCCAGCACAGACAAGAGGAGAGGCCCTCTGAGGTAACAGAAAAGGAAGTAGGGTCACCATCCTGCCGGTGGGTTCTGGAGACCTCCAGCTTTTTACAGCTGCTCTCCAGGCAACAGAGATCAGTTCCCTTGGGGAAAACAGTTGTTTTGAAGGATGGACTTGCATTGTACCATGCTGAGATCCCTCTGCACCCCAAACCCCACCCTCTCTAAGCTACACTTCCAAAATCTCCAGGAATTTCCCAACCCAGAGCTGGCAACCCTAGGAGGAAGAGGTACCAGAAGGCCTGATCAGAAACCCAACCACCTCTGTTCCTCACAACCAGCTAGGGTTGCTTCAGCCTCCAGATGGGACCAGAAGATCTCCCACTTTTACAACTGATCTCTAGCTGACAGAGATCAGCTCCCCTGGAGAAAATGGCTGTTTTGAAGGGTGGATTTTAGGGCATTGTACCATGCTGAGGTCCCTTCGCTTCCCTCCCCAAACCCCACCCTCTCCCGGATCCACACCCAAAGTCTGCAGGTATTTTCCAACCTGGCAACCCTAACCACCCCTTTTTTCATGGGGCTTTTAAATGAGCCCTGACCTCCCCTCTGCCCCTGGGAAATCCTTTAAAAAGCAGAAAGCAGGGCAGCCACGGAGGACAGGTCAGACCTCTGCCTTGCAGAATGGAATTTTTCTCCTTCCTGAAAGACTGGGGCTTTGTCAGCACCCTGTTGCTAAAGGGCACCGGAGCTCCATCCCTCAGAAGTTCCATCAGTCAGAGCTCCATCCCTCAGAAGTTGGAACCTGACATGCACATTATATATTAGATTTATACTGAAACCAAAATGGGAGTATTCATCAAAGATTACCAATTTTAAGAATGGCTCCACATAGCATTGCACTAGCAAGGGTTTTTTTAAAATTATGCTTGTCATGACTACACTCTTTTAATCGTGTGGTTAGATATGGTGTGTCTTTAACTTTCTCTCTCTCTCTCTCTCTCTGTATCTATCGCTGCCACCAGGAATTTCATTTCCGTCCTATTAATTAACCTTTCCCATAGTATTGTGCCCAAGCTCTAGGGCGCCTTCATTGGACTATGGAGTCCTGAAGATGAGACTGTTGCATTGAAATAGCATATTACTCTAGGTTTTCATAAAATAAAACTATTTGTATAAGAAGCATATTGGTTTCAAGATGTTTTGTAACTTATCCCTTCAGTGAATAAAACAGTGTATATTAATCACGTCTGACAGAGGTATCACACTCTT